TGTAAGATGGTTTGTTTAAAAAAATATGTAAGTACGTGTACATATGTGGGTATGGAAATATCACTTTTCCCTAGCAGTAAACGTTTTAGTGTGGGCAACAATGATATTTTTTAAATAAGGCAGATCGGATTATGAGCTCTTGGGAAGACAATACCTGTAATTATTGTACCATGCAGTTAAGCTATGTGTCAGAGCTTCGCCTGGATAAATATGTAAGTATGTATGTATTGTATTTTATTACAAGTGCATAGTCAGTACAATAAAATGTAATCCCAACAAGCAACATAAACTTAAAGAAAGTTTTTTTAAGTTTTCAATTATAAACATTAAGCTTACAAAACGTTGATTTTTTTGTTTATAAAACGCTTGAAAGTAAGCGTAATATAATCGAAAAGGAACATTGGTTATAAGCGTAGAAATATAAACTTGTAATAAATGTTCAAAAGAAAGCTTTTTATAAGCGTAAAAGTGTAAACTTATAATAAAGGTTCAAAAAAAGTTTTTTATAAGCGTATGAATATAAACTTGTTGAAAATTTTCAAAAGAAAACTTTTTATAAACATTTTTATAACCCTTTATTTAAAGATATTTCATAAAAAATTCATACATAGATTGCGTAACATCTAGAAACTGAACGAAATGCGAATTTTCGGCGGACTCAACTACAGTCGCGAAAATATAAATAGGGATAGACATTTTAGCATACAAATTCACAATAACACATACAAATTAAGCATAAAAAAGATAATTATTACATCTTGTCGCGTGCTTTCAATTACTTGCGGTTATTGGCAAATTGGAAAAGCGACATCGATGCAGCTATATATTCCGCTTCATCGCCGCCATTCTCATTGATGAACTTTTCTGAAAAAAATTTAATACATTTTTAATTGAATGTTAAGTTAAGAAAGGATAAGGGGAACTCATCATTTGAAGATTCGAATGCTCCACCGATTAGCGCAGCGGGTCCTGGATTGGATTTTTTTTTTCCACATCGGTTTTATTTAATTTTTTCTTTTAATAATATATTTTAAAAAACGTAAACACGTCACTTACGATTGAAAAAAATTTATATTTACTACTTCATGTCGTTGGCATTAACATTTCATTTATAAGTTTAAGTTATTTATAAACATTCGCTCTCAAAACTTATTAAAGGTTTATTTGAAAAAACTTTTAATAAGCTTAATATTAAAAATGCTTATTTAACGCTTATTATAGCAAACTTAATTTAAGTTGTTTTTAAAAACGTTTACTGAAATGCTTGTTGGGAATTTAAGTAAAAAATAATAAAGCTACGTTTGACGAAGTTAAAAATAGCATTTTCGTTTTTACACTTAAGCTATGTACCTCTACATAGAAAACTGGTATAGAACTATCTAAAAATAATTTATAACCGTATAAACAACTTCCAATAAATTACATTAAATTGTTTAATAAAAAAAAACATATATTTTCACTCCCCTGCATAGCCCTTCTGGTGTAATCACTTGCTACTAACGCATTGCAAGTAATTATACATATGTATACATATGTATATGTATATTAAAATCTCGTGCTTCTGAGTAAAATCACGACATTTTTCCACTTTATTTATTTGCTTTTTGCTGCAATGGAAAATTTTTGCAAACTGATTGCATTATTTACTCACAGCTTAGTTTTGTGACAACCTCAGATATTAAAACTCAACACAAATCATAGATAGAGCAAGAGAAGAGCAGAAAAACAATGACTATGGCAAAAGGGAGAGTAAGTAAATAAAAAGTGAGTGAACTGGAAATGCAAGCAATGCAATTATTTTCAGCTTAATTTGACGTTGGAATAAATGTATCTATCTATACTTAAAGCATTTGTAAATATGTTGAAAGGTATGTATGTATAAGGTATGACAAATTTCATTTGCTTATAGCAATTAACGGTGACATCTATGTACACTCGGCAATACCATTTTGTTCTATGTTATTTTTAAGCAAAAAACCTCACCGACTTTAGTAAAAATTGAGGAATGCAGTTAATTTTCATGCTCCAATTATCGGAACTAAACTACATAAGTTAGTATGCGACAACGTTTCCGTTAAAAAAAATAGTAATAATTCATTTCCTTTTACAAAAGTTCAAATCAATTATTTACTTAATAAGCTAAATAAAATATTACAACAATGTGGGTTTCAAACGAAAGGGTTCCAAATTATTTCGAAAATATTTTTTGAGTGGGGTTTTCTGTTGGAAAAGTAAAAATCAATTTATATAACAAATTAAACGAAATATTTTAGTGTGGTATCAAACGAGATAGGTTTAGCCTTATTTTAAAACTATTTTTAAAGGAGGCTGCAAGCTGGTAAGAAATTCAAAATCAATTTAGTTAACATGTTAAATAAAAAATTTTGTTATGGGTGTCAAACGAAAAAGGTTTAAGAAAGTTCATTTCGAAAACGAATTTGAAGAGGGTTGCCACTTGTTTAAAAATATTATTGTGAGTATCTGTTTTTGCATTAGTTCATAATTGTTGCCACTGTTTCTTACACACACACATGCCTACTTTTATTATTTATTTTTAACATCTTTTGTTTTTAACTCGTATTTATGTATTTGTTGGCTTTAATAAACTAGTCGCCCCTGATGATGCTGAAAATTTTAGCGAAACGTTGGTCAACGAACGTGAAATAAGTGTTTTGTTTGCACCATCAAAATAATAGATCAGACTAGCCTACAAGTGTATCAAATATATTCTAAGAACTGATCGCAACAAAACAAAAAATAAATAAAATAAAATAAAATCAATTTAGTTAACAAGTTAAATACAATATTTTAATATGGGTATCAAACGAGAGGGATTCAAGAAAGATATATGTATTTCGAAAATATATTAGAAGTGGGTTGCCACCTGCTTAGAAATTCATAATCAGTTCAGTTAAGAAGTTAAATGAAATATTTTGATATGGGTGTCAAACTAGAGAGGCATGGGAAAGTTTAATTTCGAAAATATTTTTGAAGAGGGTTGCCACCTGTAAAAAAGGCTGTATTTATTTTGAAATTATTTTCCAAGTGGGTTGTCACCTGAAATATTTTTATATGGGTGTCAAACTAGAAAGGATTTAAAAGCTGTATCTATTTCGAAAATATTTCGTACCATCATTGCCACCAGTTTATGAGTTTTAAGTCAATTTGATCGACAAGTTAAATGAAATCCAATAAATATAATAATAATATTTTGAAGAGTGTTGCTACCTTTTTAAGAGTCAAATCCCATATAAAATGTTGTCAAAAGATGTTTATGAAAGCCTTTTTTGAAAAATACATATTTTTATTTTTATACGGAAATAGAATAGAAACTGCGCAAGAAGGTAATTTTTAGCGATTTGAAACTTGCACTCGATAATTTTATAAAAATTATGAATAAAAAGTTTGAAATTTTGTTAAAATTCTTTGGAAAATTTATTGATTTTTGTCAACTTTTTGTTAAGCTTCGAAAAATGAAAATTAATAAATTAATATCACTTTACCATACATATGTATGTACATATGTTTTAATGTACATATGTTAGCAAAGTGATATACAATTTATTTGTGTCATCATTTAATACTAGCACACACTGCAATTGTGTCTTAAGAAGTTGAGTGGTTTCATTTCGTTCTTTTTTATTTTTTCTCCTTTTTTGCTTAAAGACGCAACGTAGTGCAATAATTGTCACCATTTTTGTATAATTTACCCCGTTGAAATGCATCAGTTTTGTTTTTGCTGTTGTTGCTGTTTCTGTCGCTGCTAATAGGCCTACTCTACTTTCCGCTATGTGCCATAATCGCTGCTTATAAAAAAAAAACAGAAAGGAGAATGCACTATAGCGCCACATGAACAGCAAGTAAAAAATAAAATAAATACAAAAAAAAATTTGAGAAGGTATGTAGATACATATGTATGTATGTATATATGTATGAGTGGGCAGCACCAGCGGAGCTGTTGTGCGACTGAAGAGAACAAATATGAAATAGATTAAATAATAAAATTTTTTTAATATACAGATAGTAATTAAATTGAGTAACAATGTATGAGTTTGCAAAAAAAAACAAATACATGAGTATTTTTTTCTAAAAACTAACAACAAAAAAAACGCTTTTATTGCGTCGGTGCATAGTGCAATTGCATTATTTTGTGTCACACTGCACCTACTAATTTACATAGGAGCAAACAAATTTGTTCATACATATGTATGTATGTTTGATGTACGCTAATATGTGTGTTTACTGGTGTATTTGCTCTAACTTGTATTCCACTTGGCATATTGATTTTCTACACACGCCACCATACCGCCGCTCTATACCCATACCCTTTAACTACATTTACTGTGGCGCTCCTCCATAGCTTGTATGCCCACAATGTACGAGTGCATGGATAGCAGCACGTCACTGCACTACATTCACTCTTGTATTCTCTACACTTTTTTTCTAATTATAAATTCTTGCAGCCGGCTTGGCAGCATTTTCTGTGGGGCTCGGCTCTGCTTAAAAATGTCTATTGCTGTGATTTTATAAAATTTTATTTTTTTAATATTAGTTGAGTTTTCATTTTATCAGTTGAATTCGGCAATTTCAGTCGTCGCTCTTTAGGCGTTTTATTACTAAAACACCCAACCCCTTATGGTACGAACGCTATATACATATGTATAGGTATAAAAGCGGCAGTTAGAAGTAGGGAGATCGCCAGAAAATTGATTTTTCTTGTGCCAACTCGGTGCCACGAAATGTGCTGCTGCTTCTGCTGCTCATCTTAACCACATAATACTATACAAGCGCCAAGCAGCGAGTGCTTATTTGTTTAATTTTTCAATATTGAAAACTTGCATTTTATAAATATGTACATATTTTCTATTGCATTGTGTCTACGTCAGTTTATATAAATTTGCAACTCTTACCTATCAATTATCTTTTATTCATTTATTTATTTCAATACGCAAATTTTTTTTTATTGTTATTTTTTTAATTTTTATGCACTTATTCATCACATATGTATTTATTTGCGTTATTGTACTTCTGTTCTTGCAGTGCATAGATTTCTTTCGCTATTCTACTATGCTCCAATAACTTTTTTCTTGTTCACATTGCAGCTAAATTTGCATCAATTTATTTTTTCCTGCACTCTTTCAATCCAATTTTTTAAAGTTAATATTGCATTTTTTCATGAGAATACTTGCACTAATGCATTTTTATTTTGATATACTTCTTAAATTTATACACTTTTTGGCTTTAACATTTCACAAGCCGACTTTTCCACTGTGTGAGAAAATGAAAATTTTAAGTGGCTCTGGCTTCATCTCTCCTCATTCGCTAATTTTCAAGTAACCGCTTTTGTTCATTTAACTTGCACTCTCACGGAATTTTTTCTTCTGGACTGCTGTCAAATAACACGGTCGTTAACGGTGTTGTTTTCTAGGGAGAATCGGAAGAGATATGGATGGAATTGAGCGGTATGTGGGTATATTCGAAACACAGGGTAATCCTTTATTGAAATTCAATGGATATTTCGGGCTATCGGATATGTTTTTAATCGATTTCCGGTTCAGTGTCATTTTGAAATAATTTAAGCCCATTTCCAAAGCAATTGTATATAAAATGCGATGTTTTCTTAGCTTTCTGTTGCATTACCGATGGCATATTAAATAGGAAATAGTAGTGGAGCAAACACAACCATGCTATGTATTTTATTGTTGCTTGAGAAACCTAGAATTTCAAAACAGAAAGAACTGTAATTACATTCGGCCAATCAAAAGCAAGCATAAATGATGCTATTGTATGTAGTTATATGTGCGTATATGAATGTAGCAAAGTTTGACAGTGCAGATTTTTCACGAAATAGAAAGAAATTATAACTGAAACCCGGCTTCTACTACTTGTTTAATGTGCCTTGGACTTACATACCTAAAAATAAGCATTTTTAATACTATCGTAAAAAATGATATATTTCCCAAGTCTATTTGCCTCTGTAAATAATTCATTTCCGTTCTTCTGCGTTCTATTTTCACACATGTTCCTCTTTCATTCGTACCGATTCCATCAGCTGATATCTGGGTTTTGTCAAAAGTGACATCTTTCAAAAGAACCGACTGATTGCACTGTCATTTTTTATTTCACTTCCATTAATTTACGTTTTTTTTAATGTTGCACGTTTTGGTGAGGGAAGTGATTAAATAAGCAAAAAATCCACAAAATTAAAAGCGCTTGGCTGTAAATGCTTACGTTGTGGCAGCAGATTATTAGAAAAAAATAATAATTTATAACAAAAACGAACGCAACTATAACTAAAACTAATTGTTTAGAAAGCAAAGCGCAGAATTTGGGGTGTGAAGTGACAACAACAAAATAAATAGATTAATGTTTATTAGACAAGCACTGGTATTATGTTGTAGACAACAACTGCACACACGATCCATATTAAACGCAAACAACACAAGGTATGTAATTAGAATGGCAATTAGGTGACATGCGAATCGTTATTACCGTGGCCATGACCATGCCATGACATTACCTATTATTTTGGAAAAGAATTTTCTACTTTTTTTCAATTCATACTCAATTTCACAACATTTGTAGCTTTGGAGAAAAATCCAGTTTATTGTTGGCGCGCGGAAAAACCAATTTTATATTTCAGCGTAAAATGAGCGCTTCATCCACTGCAGCTGCTGGCGAATCGGGTGGTGTTAATAAGTTGCCGTTGAAAAAGCCACAAGAGCTAGAGGCTATATTGCGGTGAGTAAGCAAGTTGTTAATGAATGCCAGATATTTGCACAAAAACAATGTACAGATGAAAACTTGTTTTAGTCAAGTTGCATACCAGCCACAAGTAACTAACATTTCTTTTTTACATTCCTTACATAGCTTAAATGACATTGCCAAATCCGAGCAAGACACACGCGACTATCGCGGTCTGCAATTGGAAAATGGTTTGAAAGTATTACTAATCAGTGATCCAAAAACGGATGTTTCCGCAGCAGCATTGGCAGTTCAAGTTGGGTAAGGAATTTGCTATAATTTTACTTTTCTATATTTAGTTTAGAAATCTACAAAAACTATTTATGCAGGCATATGTCCGATCCCGATGAATTACCTGGCTTGGCGCATTTTCTCGAACACATGCTCTTCTTGGGCACCGAAAAGTATCCACATGAGAATGGCTATACCACTTATCTATCGCAGAGTGGCGGCGGCAGCAATGCGGCTACATATCCGCTAATGACCAAGTATCATTTTCATGTCGCGCCCGATAAGTTGGATGGCGCATTAGATCGTTTTGCGCAATTCTTTATAGCGCCTTTGTTTACGGCCAGCGCCACGGAACGCGAAATAAATGCGGTAAAGTGTTTGCTCTTCTAGGAAGAGATGAAGTTGATGCTTAAAGGTTTGCTTTTTTCATTTTCAAGGTTAATTCGGAACACGAAAAGAATCTGCCTAGCGATATATGGCGCGTAAAGCAAGTGCATAAGCATTTGGCGAAGCCCGATCATCCCTATTGCAAATTTGGAAGTGGTAAGTTAGTGTATTATTGTTTAATAGTATGCAACTTTCAAGCTTTATTTTAAAAAAGTGATATGAAACATTGATCAAATTTTACAGGCAATAAGGTTACACTTCATGACATACCCAAATCGAAGAATATCGATGTGCGCGAAGAGCTATTGAAATTTCACAAAAAATGGTATTCTTCCAATATCATGAGCTTGGCAGTGCTAGGCAAAGGTATGTAAATATATTAAACTATATCTTAGATTACTATAACCAAGCTTTTGAATTTCTCTACAGAGTCACTAAACGATCTCGAAGACATGGTCATTGAAAAGTTCTCGACTATTGAGAATAAAAATGTAGAAATACCAACTTTTCCGCCCGAACCATTCGCTGAGGATAAATATGCGCAGAAAACTTACATTGTGCCAATAAAAGATTTGCGTTCGTTAACAATCAGTTTCACGACAGCCGACCTAACAGAGTTCTATAAATCAGCGGTTAGTACGAACTACAGACAAGTTTGATTTCAATAAATTTTAAACTTTTCATAAAATTTTAGCCTGACAGCTATCTTTCGCATTTACTCGGTCATGAAGGTAAAGGCAGCATTCTATCTGAGTTACGCAATCTTGGTTGGTGTAATGAGTAAGTGTAATGCTTGAAATGAAATTGAAAACTATTTATTCTCATAATTTTTTAAACTCACAGCCTCATGGCCGGCCATCAGAATACACTGAACGGTTTTGGCTTCTTCGAAATCGTGGTCGACTTAACGCAGGAGGGCATGGAGCACGTTGACGATATAGTGAATATTATTTTTCAAGTGCGTTAAGCATTATAGTACTCATGATTTGTTCTTAAATAAATTTATTTTGTTTCAGTATCTAACCATGCTGCGCAAAGAGGGTCCGAAGAAGTGGATTTTCGATGAATATGTAAACATAAATGAAATACGCTTCCGCTTCAAGGACAAAGAGCAGCCAGAAAATATGGTCACGCATGCGGTTTCAGCAATGCAGGTGTGTAAATGTTTCACATTATAAGAAATTTACTTTTACTAATAATTACTATAAACAAACGTATTAAAAATAATAACATATAGATTTATCCACTCGAAGAAGTGCTAACCGCACCCTACCTAAGCAATGAATGGCGTCCAGATCTGATTACCAAGCTTCTAGAAGAGCTGGTGCCAGAGAAATGTCGCATTGTGCTTATTGGTCAGAGCTATGAGCCGCTATGTATTGAAAGCGAACCATATTACAAAACTAAATATGGTACAAGCAAAATTGAAGCCGACACACTGAGGGTATGTAAACGAAAAATGAAAAAAATAAAATAAATTTGCTAAATTTCTATGTTTCTACTTCAGCGCTGGGAAAGCTGTGGCCTCAACAAAAACGTTGCACTCCCTCTACCAAATGCTTTTATACCAGTTAATTTTGATTTAGCACCAGAGGATGCAGATCTGTCAAAGCATCCTAGCATTATAAAAGATACACCAATTTTACGCGTTTGGCATAAGCAGGATGACCACTTCCAGAAGCCAAAGGCATGCATGACATTTGATATGTCCAATCCAATCGCCTATCTCGATCCCCTCAATTGCAATCTGAATCAGCTAATGGTTTCACTACTCAAAGATCAATTGAATGAGTACTTGTATGATGCAGCGTTGGCGGGGTTGAAACTGCAAGTAAACACAAAATCATCTGGCATTGAGGTGTGTATACAAATACACTTAAGATTTGCAATGACTAATGTCAAGCTACTAATTTCTTATTTTGTATGACAGTTTTCTATACGAGGCTATAACGACAAGCAGTTAGTGCTATTAGAAAAAGTATTGGATCATTTATTCGATTTCAAGATCGAGCGCAAGCGTTTCGAAATACTACGCGAGGAATTTATGCGTTCGCTAAAGAATTTCAAGGCCGAACAACCTTACCAGCATTCAATTTATTACTTGGCTTTAATACTCACAGAGAATGCGTGGGCCAATAGCGAGTTGCTGGATGCGATGTCGTGTAGGTTATTATGTTGAAGGGTTTATTTGCTATTCTAATTATTTCGTATATTTTTATTTTACATGCAGTGGTCACCTATGAGCGTGTAGTAGACTTTGCGCGCAACTTTTTCCAACGCTTGCACACTGAGTGTTTCATTTATGGCAATGTAACCAAGGCGCAAGCATTAGATGTTGCTGAGCGTGTTAATAAGCGTTTGGAGGCAACAAATTCAACAGTTTTACCACTTTTAGCACGTCAAATGCTCAAGAAGCGAGAGTACAAATTGTGTAGCGGTAAGTTGCATAGCTAATGATTTGTTTATACCGTTTTGTATGTTGGAAATGTGTTTTATTTTCCTACATAGGCGACAGTTATTTGTTCGAAAACCAGAATAACTATCACAAAAGTTCTTGCTCTCAATTGTATTTTCAATATGGGCCACAAACAGATCGTTCGAATATTATGTTGAATTTGATTGCGCAAGTTTTATCGGAACCCTGCTATGATGTGCTGCGCACAAAGGTGAGTGAACTCAATGTACTGGTAGTCTATGTGAGGGGCACCGTATTTGCGCATATGCAAACTGTGCATTTAGACGTTATTTTGCATTATTATGTATTATTTCTGTTTTTGTTATGTGCATCTTTTCGGTTTTCAACCGTATCCTTAAGAGCGGCCGAAGACCGTTTACGCAAAAAGAAGTTTTGCGCAAAAATACTTCCGCCCCCCCTTTTCAGGCAACATAGAAAGGAGAATTCTACTTCGCAAGCGTTATAATCCTTAAGCGCGGCCGAAGGCTCCCTACTCCGAAATAAGTTCTGCACAAAAATACTTCCGACCCTCTTTTC